TCTGTCGATCCAGGAGCGGAAGACGCTGACGCGGGCATAGATGGCGGGCGTGTTGATGTTGCAGTAGCTGTTCCCCCAGGAGACGATGCCAATCAGGGTCCAGGCCCCCCCCTTCAGGCACACGAGCGGCCCGCCGGAGTCCCCCTGCGAGAGAACGGGGCTGACGCTTGCCGGGCCGGGGCCCTCTCCCAGCAGGCACCCAGGGGTGCTGCATAAGTGGGGGCGAAGGGCTCCCTTCCCCCTCCCACCCAGAAAGCCCTGTTCCCCCTCCTGCCCTGTGCCCCGGTCCCTGCTGCGGGGGTGACCCTGCAGGTCCCTACCTGGCAGGAGGATGCGCCGGCCCCTCCCGCGCAGATCATGGAGCTGGTGATGCGGTTGCCCCAGTATTGCTGGCACTGGCTCACCGTGACCAGGGGCAGGGCCACCTGCTGCAGCAAGATCGCCCCTTCGTTCGCTGGAAACACGCCCAGGTCAGGCCACATGCACAGGCTGACTGAGACACCTGCCCCCTGCTGGGCGCCTGCTGCCCTGGGGGCATTGCACCACGGAGAGCAGGATGTCCCAGTGCCCAGCTGCTGGCAGGCCCTGGCCCGGAGCTTTGGTGCCCCCTGCTTTCCTGTGCTGGGCACAGCCTGTACCGGGGGATGGGGTAGGCTGTCCAGAGCCTGGCACTGGGTGCTGGGCACAGCCTGTACCGGGGGATGGGGTAGGCTGTCCAGAGCCTGGCACTGGGTGCTGGGCACAGCCTGTACCGGGGGATGGGGTAGGCTGTCCAGAGCCTGGCACTGGGTGCTGGGCACAGCCTGTACCGGGGGATGGGGTAGGCTGTCCAGAGCCTGGCACTGGGTGCTGGGCACAGCCTGTACCGGGGGATGGGGTAGGCTGTCCAGAGCCTGGCACTGGGTGCTGGGCACAGCCTGTACCGGGGGATGGGGTAGGCTGTCCAGAGCCTGGCACTGGGTGCTGGGCACAGCCTGTACCGGGGGATGGGGTAGGCTGTCCAGAGCCTGGCACTGGGTGCTGGGCACAGCCTGTACCGGGGGATGGGGTAGGCTGTCCAGAGCCTGGCACTGGGTGCTGGGCACAGCCTGTACCGGGGGATGGGGTAGGCTGTCCAGAGCCTGGCACTGGGTGCTGGGCACAGCCTGTACCGGGGGATGGGGTAGGCTGTCCAGAGCCTGGCACTGGGTGCTGGGCACAGCCTGTACCGGGGGATGGGGTAGGCTGTCCAGAGCCTGGCACTGGGTGCTGGGCACAGCCTGTACCGGGGGATGGGGTAGGCTGTCCAGAGCCTGGCACTGGGTGCTGGGCACAGCCTGTACCGGGGGATGGGGTAGGCTGTCCAGAGCCTGGCACTGGGTGCTGGGCACAGCCTGTACCGGGGGATGGGGTAGGCTGTCCAGAGCCTGGCACTGGGTGCTGGGCACAGCCTGTACCGGGGGATGGGGTAGGCTGTCCAGAGCCTGGCACTGGGTGCTGGGCACAGCCTGTACCGGGGGATGGGGTAGGCTGTCCAGAGCCTGGCACTGGGTGCTGGGCACAGCCTGTACCGGGGGATGGGGTAGGCTGTCCAGAGCCTGGCACTGGGTGCTGGGCACAGCCTGTACCGGGGGATGGGGTAGGCTGTCCAGAGCCTGGCACTGGGTGCTGGGCACAGCCTGTACCGGGGGATGGGGTAGGCTGTCCAGAGCCTGGCACTGGGTGCTGGGCACAGCCGGTACCGGGGCATGGGGGTAGGCTGCCCAGGGCCTTGCACTGGGTGCTGGGCACAGCCAGTACCGGGGGATGGGGGTAGGCTGCCCAGGGCCTTGCACTGGGTGCTGGGCACAGCTGGTACCGGGGGATGGGGGTAGGCTGCCCAGGGCCTTGCACTGGGTGCTGGGCACAGCTGGTACCGGGGGATGGGGGTAGGCTGCCCAGGGCCTTGCACTGGGTGCTGGGCACAGCTGGTACCGGGGGATGGGGGTAGGCTGCCCAGGGCCTTGCACTGGGTGCTGGGCACAGCTGGTACCGGGGGATGGGGGTAGGCTGCCCAGGGCCTTGCACTGGGTGCTGGGCACAGCTGGTACCGGGGGATGGGGGTAGGCTGCCCAGGGCCTTGCACTGGGTGCTGGGCACAGCTGGTACCGGGGGATGGGGGTAGGCTGCCCAGGGCCTTGCACTGGGTGCTGGGCACAGCTGGTACCGGGGGATGGGGGTAGGCTGCCCAGGGCCTTGCACTGGGTGCTGGGCACAGCTGGTACCGGGGGATGGGGGTAGGCTGCCCAGGGCCTTGCACTGGGTGCTGGGCACAGCTGGTACCGGGGGATGGGGGTAGGCTGCCCAGGGCCTTGCACTGGGTGCTGGGCACAGCTGGTACCGGGGGATGGGGGTAGGCTGCCCAGGGCCTTGCACTGGGTGCTGGGCACAGCTGGTACCGGGGGATGGGGGTAGGCTGCCCAGGGCCTTGCACTGGGTGCTGGGCACAGCTGGTACCGGGGGATGGGGGTAGGCTGCCCAGGGCCTTGCACTGGGTGCTGGGCACAGCTGGTACCGGGGGATGGGCACCCCCGGCACAGACCCTGCCCGGCAGCACAAGTGTCTCCTCTGAGCGCCAGCGGGGCCCTGCTCCCAGCCAGAGATGGTGCTGGGGAGGCCCTGCCGTGCTGGGCTG